GGGAGGACAAGACCATCTTATAAAGGCAAGCCTCCCATTGCTTTGAAAATACATGCTACGAGCACACATAGACATAGACCATTGCACATAGTTAATAAGCGTGTGCGCTCGCGTGGACTCGGGACTAAGACAGACTGGTTGCGTGGACTAAGACAGACTGCACACATAGAATTGGTTGTGGCTTTAAAAAACTAAGGTAGAACATAAAGTGAACTTAAAGGTTGACTAAGATGAAGCTCCGGTGATTGGACTATATAGATGGTCCACAAATAATAGTTAATGATGTACGACGTGGATCAAATGATATAGTGGTATGTTAAGAAATTGTGAATTGCACTTCATGAACTCATCCATACTATGTGTTTTGTATGCCTACGTGGGTTAGAAAAGGCTGATGACTTACATCAAAATATATTTTTTAAATAGACCATGTGAGGATGACTTCAGTGGGGATGGTCATCAATGTTCAAAAATGCAAGTTCAAGACGAGCATGACGATGGATTGTATGCTACTTGATTGGCCCAGAAAGTAATCCAAATTTTGAGTGGTTAGAAATACGGCCGGTACGAATGCGGATGGAACCTTTAGGTGAGCCCTAGGAGCCCCAATGAGGCCCACTGAGCCAGCTTTCATCTGTGTTTCACAAAGTACCTAATGACGATACAGTAAACATATGTGGATTATGGTGATAGGGGTGATCACCTCGGGTTATCACATGGACATGGGACACAAGCTTTACCCAAGTTCAGACCCTCACATGACGAGAATTGACTCTATTGATGCTTATAGTTAACAACTACTACAATGGGTGCCCAATGGCAACGTCTGGTTAGTCGGATGTCTAGTCGCCGGAGTTGAAGGTGGACGAATCTACACGGGACATGTAAACAATCTACTAATCGACCATCTCTACAATTCTCTAGCTTACGGAGTCGACAAAGTCCTGCATTCCTCCTAGAGAATGCCCTTATGTAGCGGCCTTGGCCGGTGGCTACCATCCTCCACGTGGACAACTGGCTCATACAGAAAGGGGGTTAATGCGCACATGTCATCCCGACAGACGCCCCATTTAAAGTGGGGACATATCAATTCATCATCCATTGTTCTCGTTGTTTGCTATCACGAACGAATACGCCCGTCTAAATGCGTGGCTGCTGCGGATACTCAAGTTCACTCACTTTTTCAAAAGAAACTTGCAAGTGCATTTGATAGATTAGATAATATTATGAATTACAAAAATGCTAACAAAATTTTAAATTTTTTTGAATACTAAAAACTGTTCATGCATTGTAAATAATTTTCATGATTTATAAAAATATTCAATAATTTGGTAAATTCATAAATATTAAGAAAATCATCAATGCTAAAAATGTTCACAATTTTAAAACTTCTTCATGAAGTTTGAAAAATATCAAAAATTTACAAACTTAAATTTTTTAAAAATATTCATGAATTCTGAAAAGTATATGAGCGTAATATTCATGAAAATTGTAAAACAAAAATGGAAACAAAAAAAGAGGCAAAATGAAGAACAACATAAAAATGAAAAGAAGAAAAGGCGCAATAAAAGGACCCGATGACGCCGGAACACATGATTTGACCATGGAAAATCAAACATTTTTTATGGCAAGTTTAGTGACACGAGGATGACAAGTTAGTTGGCAAGCATGACTACTCCGTCCTTGGTGTATTTTTTATCAAAAAATTGTCGTGCATGTGAACTTTTAAACTTGCCATCCTCACGCCACTAAAATTAACATCGAAAAAGTTTGATTTGCCATGGCCAAATCTCAAACTTCGGGATTTACCATTTCCCAAAAAAAAAAAACAGAGGAAAACAAGGTCAAGGAAACCGGTGGAAAATCATACCCACGTTATCCATCAAAACTTTCCGGCTTAGGCGAGGTACCATATTCGTTGTGTCTTGTACACCGAAAGGTCGGACCGTGTATGTTTTTCAAGCGAGCTGCTGAACAAAACTCACAGTCAGACTACAATTGCTGGATGAGAAAATAAAGATTTCTGTCAACCAACAAACTTGGCCTTATTATCTCTGAAATGAACAAGGATTCAATACAAGCAAAGGTACCTTGCGGAAGTCTCATGAGCATAGCAATCAAGCAAAAATTCCGTTTCAACAAACGAATAATGCACAAAGTCGGATTCCGATTTGAAATCAAATACACAAACGGAAGAGCGTAGTAGAGTTTGCCACCAAAGTCGAGCTGCCGAGTTTCAAACGGATCGGCATCAGAAGAGCTCCGTTTGGTAACCGGACGCGAGTATCTCTCAAATACAACTACGCCCTGCGCGTATGCGTCTCAAACCAATCGCCACCAATCTTCCAAATCGCCGGCGACGAATCGATCGACCCCCTCCCATCTAGAACTAGAAGCAGCAGAGCAGCCGCCGGCCGGCATGGAAGGGCTCAACGTCCACGAAGTTTTCCAGCACTACCGCTTGAACCCTACGGAGGTGGAGGCCGTCACTTACTACCTGCCACGCCTCATCGCCGGCGAGACGCACGGCGCCGAGAAGCTCATCCACGACGCCGACGTCTACGACTGCGAGCCCAAGGATCTCGCCGCCCGCTACGCGCCGGTGCCGCAGGCGGAGAGCAGCGGCGACCGCTTCTTCTTCACCACGTGCAAGCGCAAGAAGGGAAGGACGTCGGCGAGACCTGGACCATCAACACGACCACGGTCGTCACGCACGCGGGAGTCGACGTCGGCGAGAGGAAGAACCTGTCCTTCAAGAAGAAGGGCAAGTCCACCGGCTGGGTCATGGAGGAGTACCGGCTCCTGCCGCCGCCAGAGGCCGTCGTCGCCGACGAGGAGAAGGTCTTCTGCAAGATTCACTTGTCCCAGCACGCTCCTGAGGACGCCCGCCGTGAATCGGCCGCGTACAAGCGTCAAGGAAGAGCGGAGCCCATGCCACAACCGGCGCCGCAACCAGAGCACGTTGGAAAGAGGCCAGCGCCGGGCCCGGGTGCCGCCGCCGACCCTCATCCGCCGCAACCCATGAAGAAGATGCGAGTTGCCGTACCCGTCTCGGCACCTGCCGCATCGTCGTTCGCCGCTGCAGCACCGGTCTCCTTGCCGGCTGAGCCCATACCTGAAGCTGAGGACGACATGGCCTGGCTCTCTTGCACAATGGAAGAACTTCTCGGGGAGGCACAAGTGGAGGAAACTCTCCCGGTCCAAGCAAGAAACAGCATCGAACAGAATTGTGAACCACAGGAGCCGCAAAAGCTTTTCGCTGATGCTGAAGAAGAAATCATGGGGACTTCCAGTCTTCACGCTCCATTTGAAGCAGAGTGTCAGACCGAAGAGGCGCTCGACATGGAGACGCTTTTTGCTATAATGGATGAAGCAGCAGCAGAGCAGGAGCGGCAGGCCGTCTCGACGAACAATAACTCTTCCATGGTCCAAGACAAGCCGCCGCCGATCTTCTCCCATCCACCTGAAGCACAGTGGCAGGCTGACGAGGCACTCGAGAAGTACAATGCCGCAGCCGATCTTCAGGCTCCATCGCTTCAGGGACACGACCACTTGTTCAGCTCGCGGCCGAGCTTCTCCGATCCATTTGAAGCAGCGTGGCGGGCCGAAGAGGCGCTGGAGAAGGAGAACGCCGCGGCCAATCTTCAGGCTGGACCGCTTGGGGGACACAACGACTTCTTCTCGTCTTCAACTGTATACTGAATCTGATGTTGAAATTCTTAGTGTATTCAAGTGTATATGAGGATTCTCAGTCGCCGGTACATTAATCCGTCCTTGTACGATTGCCACGGATTCTGAACCTCTGAGCAATTTGCTCCACTTGTTGATGTTGTTGCGCCTGTTATTGATGTTCTGAACCTTGTGTATGCTGCAACTCATATATATTTTGCACAGTTTCTCTCAGTTCCAAACTTTTTAGTCTGAACATGGAGCTTACCTCATGGTTTTAGTTTTAGGCATGTAGCACTATCTTGCGTCCATGTGATGTTGTGAGTTGGTTGCACTCACATTTGTTTCTGTATGAATCAACTCTGAAACAGTCTGATGAGGTTTGCTCCGTACTCTCATTTGAGCCAGCTTAAGCATGCGCAACTCTAGCAGTTTAAAACACGAGCCCTTCTAACTTATGACTTGAAAGAATGGTTCTTAGCCAACGTTATATTACCAGCAACAACTGGCCAACACATCTCAAACCTTCGGTCCAAACGATTGCACCTGAATTAGAAGAAAAACATGCAAATAAAGATGTCGTCTTCAGCTACAGAGCAACCCGGGGGTCTTGCTTCTTGGTACCCTGTGGCCACGGTTTCACCTATTTTACGTGTGCAATCAGGTATATCAGGAGGTCCGACTAGATGAAGTTCTACAATTGTCACTGACTTGTGAGCCTGGTTCAGAAGCCACCGAACCCTGAACTTCAACATCTTGTTTAAGCATCACACATAACATTGAGGAACTCTCTTTCTGAATCTTATTTGGTTGAGAATTCTTAGTTTCAGACTTTCAGTTAGTCTGATCAGAATCCTCGACAAATGCAAGCTTTCGTAGTTCGTACTATGGAACAAGTGCAAGTGGCATGCTACTGAAGAAAGTACTATGGAACAAGTTGTTGTTCTTGCACCTGTTATCGAAGTTGTAACTCTGTCGCAGTAAAGGTATATGCCTCTCTTTTCCTCTCTCAAAAATAAAACTAAAAACTACACATCTGTTCTTTGCGGTTCAATTTGAACGGCAAAAACGTCTTACATTTAGGAACAGAGATAGTAATGCTATGCTTATGTAACTCTTCACTGTTGGTGTCTTGTCTTCTTCGTTTCCCAATTGGCCCGACTCTTTGTTATAGTTACAATAGGTGTTGCTTTTCCGCTGTTTATTTTGTGACAAAATCCTTTTGTTTTGATCCGCATCTTCATCCTAATTTCATTTGGTCCTAAATGTAGGGTATTGCTTCCTGAAGCGACTCGCAGGAGATTATGAGCCTGGTTCATAAGCCACCGAACCTAGACTTTGAAATCTTTCTTATTTTTAGCATCACACCCCTGTCGCCCATCCTGTCCATATTGGCTATCGACCCGCTGCATCGCCTTCTCGACGACGCGCACGGGCGCCCTCGATCCACTGCCAGGGAGGGCTACGAGACTAAAAAGTTGCTGTTGTGAACCACATAACATAGATTAAGAGCTTCATACAAATGGTATGCCCAGAGGATAAAGGAGAAAGCAAAAACAACAAAAAGCACGTACAAGCAAACTTAAGACTGTAACTCACATGCAAATTGAACACTTCAAGAGAGGGAGTTAGTTCCAATAGAGAAGCCAAACGAAGAATCCCACTTGAACAACCTGGATCTCCGTCCACCAAAACCTCTATACTGAGATGCCTCAGATTAATAAAATCACACCGGCTGTCTGTCATGAACTGTCGTGCCTGGAAATAAATATAAATATTAATGAGCACCAGGTTCTAAAGTTGCAAGAAGCTGGTGCAGTAACAGAGAAACAGACATAGCTATTGTCTTAGTTATAATTACTCAGAAAGTGCTCAAAATGAAACCAACCTCATTTTCGATATGAATTCTAAGGGAGATTTCCTCCACATTAGACATAGCCCGAACAAGATGACTAAAAGTGTAGTCTAGATTGTCAGAATCTGATAATACTTCAATTTTTGCCTTTGTCAGCTTGTGGAATTTGCCAAGCACAATCGGCACATCCTGCTCTGAATAATTGAATACTGTGAGATTTGGTGCATGCAGTTCCATGCTTTGTAGGCTGCAATTCTGAATACAAGCATACTGCAGGTGGTCTAGTGGCTCAGACATGGTGAAGGAAGGCATGAAACAGTCTGTTAGACTTAACCACTCAAGGACAGCACAGTGTGGGAGCATGCAATGGAGGCCCTTCGATACATAAACCCTATGCAATTTGAGTGATCGAAGGTTTGCAAAGCCACAGAAATTCAGAGCTGGCCTTAGGCACACTAAGACAAGTCGGAGAGACAGCACACATGAGCTGTTTCGATCATCAAAAAGATGCAGAGGGAAGTTGTAGACATCGTCCGGGCATTTGGGTGGAGGGCGTAGATCAAGAACAACGTTCTTTGCCTTCGATAGAACAGCAAAACTGAGCCATCCATCAAGATCATCACCGTGTTCTTCAGAGAGTCCATAATTCACCTTAAACTTGTTCACAGCAGTACAGTAGTGATCCTTCAGGATATCATTGACACTAGTAACAAATTCTTGGTCCCCCTTGTCCTTGCCATCAAACAATTTTTCAACACTGAAGATTAGATCTGGGTGGTACCTCCAGACATGTCTCCACCCACTCGACAGTGTGCTTATCTGCACCACCTCCTTTAGAGGCAAGCGCGATAGTATCTTTTGTATCACATCCTGAAGAATATAGTATAGATGAGAAAATAGTGCTTTGAATAATAGAATGCTCAGCGAATGAAAATCGTGCGAGAACAGAATCGGCATCGTTCTTTTACCCCTAAAATATACATGTTCTACAAAAAAAAAAATCTGATAGAAATTGCCTAGGTGCAGTTTTCCTAAACTACTTGTTCTTAAAACCACACATTAAAAGAAGTCTAAAGTTAATGATATTTGGATGAAAAACGATCATCATCCGTACTACCATTGAGTTTCTTCAAAAAAAATTGACGCATGAGTTTCTTAAATTTTGGGTATGTCATTCCATTTTACCGTGCAGATCATATCAATCTGTTGGTTTTCATTTATTCAAGGGCCACGAGATTTTGGAGGTCAAATCAATGCCTTGCAGGTGACTGCCGTTTACTGATCCAAGGGCACCTTCATAAAAACAATTTTGCATATTTAATTCTTGCTTCAGCATGCGCGCTATGGGCCTTTTAAGTTTCATAATGTTAATTTTGAGAGTATTCTTGAGCATATCCAGGGTGCTGGCGTGTGCGATCGTTAAAAACTTTCACAAGAATAGGAAAGAAAATCGAGGAGTCTCTGTAACTTAACAGCGAATAATACTAAGGATTCCTGCCTTTTCCTTAGCAATGTCATTTGTTGACCTAGTGTATGTACCACAGGAAAAGCCATACCTCGGGGAGATTGTCCAGACGCGTCTTGGGCCTGCTGTTGTGGCGTCGGAGCTTGAATCTACGTGCTTCTTGGGGGCTCATCTCCATAACCCATCTCTTGCCCATTTGATTTTCAGATCACTGACCAGTGACCGCTGTGATGTTCCCCAATCTGCAACAGGGTAGCTTATACAGGATAGATGTGTAGCTTATACAAGGAGGGAAAACCTAAAACTCCCAGGGAAGGATGAGTTTAATTAAAGCAGGACTCAAGGAGTGCACTTTATCTCTCCCTCGAACCGATTACACCGCAGCTGGCTGCCTATATAGTACGTTCCAGATTCCTCTCCGATTCGGAGAAGGAAGCGCAGATCTACTATTACGGAACGACGCCGGAATAGGTCAAACTAGAGGACACTGGAGGGAAGGGGGGAGAATAGCACAGGAGGTCAAACTAGAGAGATGGCCGGGCGCGACGGACGGAACGTCCACCAGCAAGCGGGAACAGACCTGGATGCGGCAGGCGGAACGGTGGCTCGCGCGCCGGGCGGTTGAGCGGTGGACGGCAAGATGCAGCGGCGCGCGGCGGCGGCGGGGTAATTTCCTTCTCTTTTTTTTTAAACATGTGGCGGGGTCATTTCTCTTTTTTCTGGGGAGCAGCACAGGGAAAATAGGCAAATTTCGCCAAGGAAAAATGACAGGTGGGTCCAAATCGCGAAAAGAAAAAGAAAACTTAAAAACAGGCAATAAATCCACTTGTTCATGCAAGCTACTAGAGTTGATGTTGTTGCGCGTGTTATCGATGTTCTGAACCTTGTGTTCTCTGTTTAGGCGGTGCATCGAGGGTGTTTAGGCGGTATGTGGGCCCTGTTTTGGGTATGGTCGGTTCTTTTTTTTTTGAAACGAGGCAAAAGATTTGCCATTTTCATTGATTAAGAAGAAGAGGGCTTGACTTGTGGCGTGCGGGGCCTCTTTTATCCTAGGTGTCGCTGGTTCCTTCTGCTCTGGCGTTTCTCTGGCGTCGCTTCCGTGTTTCGATGTGCGTGGGGAGATTTGTCGGCAGTGGCGCGCTCCTTCGTTTGGTGTGCTCCTTCTCTCGGTCAGTCGGCGGCATGGTGGGTGCTTCTCTCGCGCCCTCTTCTTTCCCGTCGACAATCGATTTTCTGCTGGTTCCTTTCGGGTGCCGCCGCTGGTGCGCAGGTTAGGGTTTGATCGGTGTTCTGTGGCCGGCAGTGCTGTGTTATGCGGGCTAGGGTTTCGCCGATCTGTGGGTTGTGGCCGGGTATGATGATTTGGGCGCTAGGTCTCGTGGGCTGTCATGGCCGCTGTGTTGTAGCATGGACAGAGATGGGAGCAACTAGTTAACGAGCACTCCTTCAGAAGCCTCGCAACGATCAGCGTCACTTGGCGCGCTCTCAGCCATTCGCCATATGTCGCGCTCTGGACGCTCCCTTCGGATTTTGTTTTTTTATTTTTCCGCACGCGCTTTCGGCTTTTTAAACGGGTTTTTTCGGGTTTTTTTGACGTTTTGGTTTTCCCCCGGTTTTTCTTAACTTTTCCATCAAAAAATCGAAAAAAAATTGCGCGAAAAAAACACGTTTTCTTTTTTTTTCCTTTCGCGAAAGTCACGGTTTTTATTCCGCGAGAGGCACGGTTGTGCTTTATCGAGAGTCACGGCCGTGCCTTTCGGAAACGAAAAAAACACGTTTTCTTTTTTTTCTTTCGCGAGAGTCACGGTTTTGCTTCCGCGAGAGGCACGGTCGTACTTTCGCGAGAGTCACGGCCGTGCCTCTCGGAAAGTGAAAAACAAAACACGTTTTCTGTTTTTTTTTCTTTCGTGAGAGTCATGGTTTTGCTTCCGCGAGAGGCACGGTTGTGCTTACGCGAAAGTCACGGCCGTGCCTCTCGAAAGGGAAAAAAATACGCGTTTTCTATTTTTT